ACGTAAAATGTTTTCAAAGTAAGCTCACCCTTTTTTAGAAAAGAATTGTAGTGGTTGATAAGTGCGTTTATATCAACTTATTTTTGAACTTTCTGCGCATTGAAGGCTCGATCCAAATGTGAGTTTTCGGTAGTTCAGTTACCAAACGAACACTGGTGGAGCCAACGAAGGCTCGGGAGTGTCACTTGACCCTTCTCAACTTTCAAATTTGGTCATAATTCATATATGTATTTTGATTTTTATATATTATATCCTTAGTTTTGACCCTTCTAGTCCATGTGCAAAACCAAACAAGTGACCATTTATCAATTTTCTTTTGAGTAAACACCTTGGCTTGGCTATGCAGTTTATTTATACTTATTTTCTTTTTGGCTTATTGTATGTTATGAGTTGTTTATTGGTGACTTTTTAAAAATTTCAAATTATGAATATTGTAGTTTATAAGATTCCAACGAGATTTCTAATGATTTATGAATCAATACAAAGAATTTTGTGTTAATAGATGAGTTTATTATGTTTTTCTTTAAACTTATAGCTATTTAAGCTTGAACCCCCATGACAATGTTTCTGACTCCACCCAATCCAAGCAACGAGACAAGAAATTTTAAACATTGATATAAATGTAACCATTTGAATGCATATATGACCAGAATTTAATGATATTAACGTCAGGATAGGAGACAAACGACGTACATGGTAATGGGGCCGAGTCCATGGCTAGTTCGGCTAGAATCCTTTTTCAAGTATGCAAATTACATCACCATTAGGATTTGTCCAAATATGGTTAGCCAGTCCAATGATATTTGAGTAAAATTATGTGAAGTGCGCCAAATTTACAACGGCGGAGGGTGTGGTAGTCTGTTAAACGGTGACGTCAATACTCCAGTCCAAAATAAGTTTATCGACAAATGTACTAAAAATTCATGCTATCCAATCTCCCAAATAAAATGGGCTCTGTCACCAAATCACACTATTTTCTGCAGGACTTGATGAATTTTTTTATTTTTATTTTATTTTTGATATAGCAGGACCCAGCAGTAACAGGTCTGCGGCAATGTGAAACGGTTTGCACAAATGTTGTAACAGAACCGCTGAAGACCGAGCAGGTTCTGAGCAATGAGATTGTGAAGGCTGAGCATGATGCTGAAGTAACAAAGTTAAGTCCAATTTGCACTACAAGTTACCCATCATTCAGTTGCAGCAAGTCAAGGCGGAATTTAACTGAGGTACTGAGCTTTTAAACTTCTTCCCGCTAAAGTGATGTTCTGTGACTACTTTTTCTTTTCTAGTTTTAACTAGAAGAGCGGAGAATACGCAGAATATTGGCCAACAGAGAGTCAGCCAGGCAGACAATTCGTCGGAGGCAGGTAAGCTGATGTTACTCTACTTATTGCATATCAATATTTTTTTTTTCTTTTTCCCAGGAGTGTTTAAGAGGGATGGGGAGGAAATTTTATGACTATCAATATGTTCTATATATATACTCAATATGGTAAAGGTTGCATTTGTTCCTTGTATTTAATTCAAGTCTGTTGATGTCATTGTGTCTTCATTTTATCAAATGGTGAACACCGAGAACAATGTTCTGCTAGATAGTTATTGCTATTTTATGGCTTGGAAAATTGTGAAAGCATTTTGACACTACAGGCAACAGGAGTATGGGTTCAATTCCCTATAATACAAGCTTCTGTTTGGTAATTAGGTTATACCAGTTATGCTATACAAAACCATTTTTTGTGCTTCCGTAATGTATCTACTCCTGTCCTAGGATCCAGAGATTATTTTTTGTCTTTTTGTTTTTGGGCTTTAGGGTATTGAGTAAATTTCTGCTTTGGGTTCATCAAAAAATTTCTGCTTTGGGATCCTGGAGAAATGTGGTTGTTATTCTCCCCTGTCCTATACTAATCATTTATCACAATTGAGGGCCTCCTTGCATTTTGCAGTCTCAGGAATAACTAAATGATATGAATGTGTATATGTGCTTTTGTAAAATAACATATTGGATTGTAGTTGCTGTTCAAGTAATGACTATCCTAACCATAATATGACACTGCACCATGTGTCACTGAGGTAGTAAATTAAATGAGTCACAAAGTGCATTGTTTTTTGTCACTTTTTATCTTTTCCTTTTTTAAAACAATAGATCTTCATGAGTTGTGTTTGTTATTCTCAAATTGCATGGTATGTGTCCAGTGCAGATTGCATTCTTGGCCATCGGACATTTAGACTTTAGCAAATTATGCATCTTTCCTTGTTCTACAGGCTCTGTGTGAGGAGTTAACCAGAAAAGCTGCTGATCTGGCATTGGAGAATGAAAATTTAAAAAAGGTAGGCATTAGTCCCCAATTATTTCTTATAAACTTGCTTTTCTTTCAACTCCTCTCTCTCTCTCTCTCTCATCATGACAATGCTAACTTTATTCACATTTTTGGTGGCTTTTTAAATGAGAAGAAAAAGGAGTTGGCCTTAAAGGAGTATCAGTCTTTGGAGAAAACAAATAAGCACTTGAAAGTTCAGGTAAGATATGCCTGACATTGAAGAGATGTTTAACCTTGATAAAATCTCTAATGCTTGACATGCTCTCTCATTTTGCAGATGGCTAAGGTGATAAAGGCAGAGGTGGAGGAAAAGCCAGGTGAAAATATGTCAGCCTATGTGCAGATGCAGATACCTCCTTCTTCACCTAGTAATTCCCCATTATTCTTGTTTAACCGTCCACCATTTACACCAGTTTTTTGGCCTTCTATCATTCAGTCTTCAAATTCCATTCAGTTGCAACATGTATCACAAAATCCGATGGCCATTCCATCAAACATCCCTTTGCCAGCTAATGGTACAGCTGATTCTTCTCATGAACAAGAAAACCCCTTGACCAATAATGGAACAAGAACTCCTTTATATGTATTTCCGTGCCCTTGGTTCATCCCTCATTTTGATAATGGGAATGGACTCCAACCCCAGTCCTCCTTGTGCGTGAACAATAAACAAGAAGAAACTTCTTTTAATAACCAGTACAGTGCTAGTTCATCTTCAAGAACTGTTGCACAGTTAGACAACCACCATTGCTCTTTCC